CCCTTAAATATCAATAAGGGGGGGAAACTATTGTCCTCCCCCCGACCCCCACCCCTTAAATATCAATAAGGGGGGGAAACTATTGTCCTCTCCCCGGCCACCGCCACTGAGCGGCGGGTGGGGATCCTAAACAAAAATGTAACCCCCCACCCAAGGTGACTAGGGGTCCCCAAACCCCTAGTCACCCCCCTCCCCCCAAAAAAAATAACCCCTACCTACCCCCCTCACCCTAAAAATAATGAGGGGGGACCATAAACTAGATACCTGTAAAAAAAATAATAATAAAACTTACCATTTGATGTCTTCTTTCTTCTAAAATCTTCTTGTGGGGACCGGGGGGGGGGGAGAAATAGGTCCCCCCCTACTTATTCTAATTTAGGGCCCCCACCCGTCGCTCAGGGGTGGGGGTCTGGGGGGGGAGGACAATAGGTCCACCCCTTATTCTTCTTTAGGGCCCCCACACGCTGCTCAGGGGTGGAGGCCAGGGGGGAGGACAATAGGTCCCCTCCTTATTCTAATTTAGGGCCCCCACCCCAGAGCGGTGGGTGGGGGGTACGGGGGGGACATTTTTTTTTTTTACAGTGAGCAGCCACTGTTTAATAGACATGCCCCTACTCGTGGTATAGCGAGTAGGGGCATAATTTACTAATACTAAGTAATCTTTACTTAGTATTAGTAAATTTGGCTGAAAGACCAATTTAGGTCTTTCAGCCTTTTAGTAAGTAACTCCCAAATTCCCACATTATTAGGAAGCTATCTACTTATTCATTCCTTGACAGGCTAAGTAACTAACATTTTATATGAATGTATGTTACTTGATTGTTGTAAGTGTTGCAAATGCTTACAGCTGAATCCTGGCTATGTTTGTATACTTTTTATTTTAAACTTGTATAGCATTCTTCATTCTTCCACTGGGTGTATTAGTACTTGGGCAATACTGTGCTTCGGAACTTCGACACTTCTGACATTCGGTAATTTCGGAACTTCGGGACGTCAGCAATTCGACTATTCGGAAATTGCCATTCGGAACGAAACAAATTGCACATGTCTAGTGGTTTTATCAGAGTCCATACAGATGTTCAAACAGCAACTAGATGCATACTTGCAAAAACAGAATATTCAAGGATATAATTTTTCAATGTAGGGTAATAACTGCTTGATCCAAGGATAAATCTGACTGCCATTCTGGGGTCAAGAAGTATTTTTTTCCCTAGTGTGTTGCAAACTTGGAAGTGCTTCAAACTGGGGTTTTTTCCTTCTATTGGATCAACAGTAAAAACAAATGTGAGGAAGGCTGAACTTGATGGACCAAGTCTCTTTTCAGCTATTTAACTAGGTAACACTTTTTAGAATGTTGTAAAAATGTTTCTGATCATAATACTTAAATAAATGAAAAAACATTTATATTCTTCAAGAGTGAATGAAGAGTCCCTGAGTGTAAAACAGAACTCCACAGCAATAATACTCCCAGTAATGTGTCTGAGTGTATTACAGAGCTCCACAGCAATAATACTCCCAGTAATGTGTCTGAGTGTATAACAGAGCTCCACAGCAATAATACTCCCAGTAATGTGTCTTTACTTTACTGTGTTTATTCCCTTTATGTATTTAAATGTTTCTATCATATCCCCCCGTGTCGTCTTTCCTCCAAGCTATACATGTTAAGATCCTTTAACCTTTCCTGGTAAGTTTTATCCCGCAATCCATGAACCAGTTTAGTAGCCCTTCTCTGAACCCTCTCTAAGGTATCAATATCCTTCTGAAGATACGGTCTCCAGTACTGTGTACAATACTCCAAGTGAGGTCTCACCAGTGTTCTGTACAATGGCATGAGCACTTCCCTCTTTCTACTGCTAATACCTCTCCCTATACAACCAAGCATTCTGCTAGCATTTCCTGCTGCTCTATTACATTGTCTGCCTACCTTTAAGTCATCAGAAATAATCACCCCTAAATCCCTTTCCTCAGATGTTGAGGTTAGGACTCTATCAAATATTCTGTACTCTGCCCTTGGGTTTTTACGTCCAGATGCATTATCTTGCACTTATCACATTAAATGTCAGTTTCCCTCAACTCTGACCACTACAGTTTCTTAATGTGTGTCTGAGTGTATAATGACTCCACAGCAACTAATGCTCCCAGTCATGTTTTCTGATTGTATAACATAGCTCCACAGCAATATACTTCCCAATGTGTCTGAGTGTATAACAGAGCTCCACAGCAATATAATACTCCCAATCTGTGTGTCTGAGTGTATAACAGGCTCCACAGCAGAGATACACAGCAATAATACTCCCAGTATGTGTCTGTGTGTATAACAGAGCTCCACAGCAATAATACTCCTGTAATGTGTCTGAGTGTATAACAGAGCTCCACAGCAATAATACTCCCAGTATGTGTCTGAGTGTATAACAGAGCTCCACAGCAATAATACTCCCAGTAATGTGTCTGAGTGTCACGAAGCGACTACTTACTCCCAGTGAGAAATGAAAATGCGAGGTGTGCCAACAGGGAGCTCCACAGCAATAATACTCCCAGTAATGTGTCTGAGTGTATAACAGAGCTCCACAGCAATAATACTCCCAGTAATGTCTGAATGTATAACAGAGCTCCACAGCAATAATACTCCCAGTAATGTGTCTGAGTGTATAACCGAGCTCGACAGCAATAATACTCCCAGTAATGTGTCTGTGTGTATAACAGAGATAAACAGTAATAATACTCCCAGTAATGTGTCTGAGTGTATAACAGAGCTCCACAGCAATAATACTCCCAGTAATGTGTCTGAGTGTATAACAGAGCTCCACAGCAATAATACTCCCAGTAATGTGTCTGAGTGTATAACCCGAGCTCAACGGCCTTAATGTACCAGTAATGTGTCTGAGTGTATAACAGAGCTCCACGGCAATAATACTCCCAGTAATGTGTCTGACTGTATAACAGAGCTCCACGGCAATAATACTCCCAGTAATGCTTCTGAGTGTATAACAGAGCTCCACAGCAATAATACTCCCAGTAATCTGTCTGAGTGTATAACTGAGCTCCACAGTAATAATACTCCCAGTAATGTGTCTGAGTGTATAACTGAGCTCAACAGCAATAATACTCCCAGTAATGTGTCTGAGTGTATAACAGAGCTCCACAGCAATAATACTCCCAGTAATGTGTCTGAGTGTATAACAGAGCTCCATAGCAATAATACTCCCAGTAATGTGTCTGACTGTATAACAGAGCTCCACAGCAATAATACTCCCAGTAATGTCTGAGTGTATAACAGAGCTCCACAGCAATAATACTCCCAGTAATGTGTCTGAGTGTATAACAGAGCTCCACAGCAATAATACTCCCAGTAATGTGTCTGAGTGAATAACGGAGCTCCACAGTGATAACATTCCCAGTAATGCTCCACAGCAATAATACTCCCAGTAATAATACTCCCAGTAATGTCTGAGTGTATAACAGAGCTCCACAGCAATAATACTCCCAGTAATGTGTCTGTGTGTATAACAGAGCTCCACAGCAATAACACTCCCAGTAATGTGTCTGAATGTATAACAGAGCTCCATGGCAATAATACTCCCAGTAATGTGTATGAGTGTATAACAGAGCTCCACGGCAATAATACTCCCAGTAATGCTTCTGAGTGTATAACAGAGCTCCACAGCAATAATACTCCCAGTAATGTCTGAGTGTATAACAGAGCTCCACAGCAATAATACTCCCAGTAATGTGTCTGAGTGTATAGCAGAGCTCCACAGCAATAATACTCCCAGTAATGTGTCTGAGTGTATAGCAGAGCTCCACAGCAATAATACTCCCAGTAATGTGTCTGAGTGTATAACAGAGCTCCACAGCAATAATACTCCCAGTAATGTGTCTGTGTATAACAGAGCTCCACAGTAATAATACTCCCAGTAATGTGTCTGAGTGTATAACAGAGCTCCACAGCAATAATACTCCCAGTAATGTGTCTGAGTGTATAACAGAGCTCCACAGCAATAATACTCCCAGTAATGTGTCTGAGTGTATAACAGAGCTCCACAGCAATAATACGCCCAATAATGTGTCTGAGTGTATAAC